AACTTGTCAAAGAACCAATTTTTAGCTTCATTGGCTTTCTCTATCATAAATTTTCAGTCTTAATTGATTATGTCTCATGTCTTTATTATTTCTTCTGCTTTGGTTTAATTTGCTCTTCTTTTCCTAGCTTCTTAAAATGAAAAATTCATCATTTCTTCTTTTCTGGTATAAATACTAAAGCTTTAAACTTCCCTTAAGCCCTGCTTTAGAGGCATCCCACAAGTTTTTTATATGTTCTGTTTTCATTCATATTTAGTTCAAAATATCTTCTAATTTTCTTTCTGGTTTCTTCTTTTGTCCACAGGTTATCTAGAAGTGTGTTGATTAATTTCCAAATAAATGAGAGTTCTTTTAATAAATTAGATAGCTCTGTTGCTAATTTCTAATTTAATTCTATTATAGTCTGTAGGATTTCTCTCTTTCTTTCTTTTTAAAATTTACTGAGGCACATTGTATGGCCCAACATACAGTCTATATTGGTGAATGTTCCATTGTTCCATATGTATTTGAGAATGAGTATTGTGTAGTTTTTACAGATAGTATTCTATAAAGGTTAATTAGGTCAAGTTGTTCATTTATATTCTTCTGTTCTCTTTTATATCGTTTCTGATTTTCTTTTTTTTAAGATTTTATTTATTTATTTGAGAGAGAGAGAATGAGTGAGAGCATGAGAGGGAAGAGGGTCAGAGGGAGAAGCAGACTCCCCGCTGAGCAGGGAGCCGGATGCGGGACTCGATCCCGGGACTCCAGGATCATGACCTGAGCCGAAGGCAGTCGCTTAACCAACTGAGCCACCCAGGCGCCCCCTTTCTGATTTTCTGTCTACATTTTTTATCAGTTACTGAAAGAATGTTCAAATCTCCAAATACAGTTGTAGATTTGTCTATTTTTCCTTTAAGTTTTATCAGCATTACTGTCATTTTGTTTTGTAGCTTGTTATTAGGTGCACACACCTTGAAAATTGTTATCTTTACACTATTACCACAATATCTTAGATACTGTAGCTTTATAATAAATCTTGAAGTCAGTACTGTAAGTCTTCCAACTTTCCTTTTGTCCTTTCAAAGTCATTTGGCTATTCTAGGTTCATTGCATTTCAAAATGAATTTTAAAATCAAAATCTACAAAAATTCTGCTGGGATTTTGATTGGGATAACTTCGAATCTATAAATCAATTTGGGTAGAATTGACATCTTAACAACATTGAGTCTGCCAGTTTATGAATATGATACACACACACACACATACACACACACATATGTCGCATTCATATATCTTCATGTATTTAAGTTTTTCATTTCTCTAAGAAATGTTACTTGGTTTTCAGTTACAGGTCTTGCATGTTACCTACTAGATTTATGTCTTTATATTTATCTCTAAATATTTCCTATTTTGATATGATTGTAAATGGTAGGGTTTTTTTCTGTTTCTGATTGCTCATTGTTAGTGTAAAGAAATGCAATTGGTTTTTGTATATTGATCTTATATCAGGCATTCACTTATAAGTTCTAGTGCCTTTTTGTAGATTCCTAAGATTTTTCCATATAAATGATCAAGTACCTATGAATACAGACAGTTTTATTTCTCCCTTTACAGGCTGCATGCCTTTTATATCTTTTCTTTGCTGTATTACATGTCTAGAACCTTCAGTGCAATGTTGAATAGAAGTGGTGAGAGCAGACATCCCTGTTTTGTTCCTTATTTTAGAGGAAAATTATTCAACATTTCACCATTAAATATGATGTTAGCTCCAGATGCCCTTGATCAAATTGAGAAAGTTGTCCTCTAGTCCTAAGTGGCTGAGAGTTTTTATGAAGAATGAATGTTAAATTTTGTCAGACATTTCTTTTTTGCATCTATTAAGATAGACAGTTTTTCTTTTTCTTTTCTTTTCTCTTTTTTTTCCCCCAGTCTATCATGGTGAATTATATTGATTGATTTTCAGAAGAATTATCAACCTGGCATTCTTGTGATAAGCTCACTTGGTCATGATGTATTATTTTTTATGTATATTGTTGGATTCGATTTTATAAAATTTTGTTAAGGAATTTTTCAACTATGCATTCTTCTTTTCTTGTGATGTTCATGCTTTGTCTTAAAATGTTTTAGCTTACACCAGAGTAAGGCTAGCCTCATAGAATGAATTGGGAAATATTTCCTTCCTTTCAATTTCTTGAAGATTTTATAGAGAATTGCAAATAATCCTAAAACTTGTATGGAACCAGAAAAGACCCCGAATAGCCAGAGGAATATTGAAAAAGAAAAGCAAAGCTGGCGGCATCATAATTCCAGACTTCCAGCTCTATTACAAAGCTGTCATCATCAAGACAGTATGGTACTGGCACAAAAACAGACACATAGATCAATGGAACAGAATAGAGAGCCCAGAAATGGACCCTCAGCTCTATGATCAGTGAAGCCATTTGAGCCCGGATTTTGGATATGTGTGCAGGACAGTTTTTAACCTCAAATTTCATTTCTTGAGTAGATACAATTTGTTTGGGTTACCTCTTTGTTCTTGAATAAATTCTGATAGTTTGTATCTTTCATGAAGTTGGTCCTTTTCGTTTAAGTTGTCAAATTTATTGGCATAACGTATTCATAATATTCCTTCATTATCTTTTTAATATCTGTAGAATTCTTACTGATGACACCTCTCTCATTCCCGATATTGGTAATTCATGCTTTCTCCTTTTCATTCCGGATCAATGTGGTTTGAGCTTCATCGGTTATATTTGATCTTTTTCAAAGAACTAACTTTTGCTTTCCTTGATTTTCTCTATTGCTTTTCTGTTTTCAACTTCACTGATTTCTGCTCTGCTCTTTATTACTTCCTTTCTTTTCCATATTTTAGATTTCATTTGCTTTTCTTCGCCCAAGTTTTGTAATGTGTAGGCTGAGGCCACAAATTTAAGAAACATCTTCTTTTCTCTTATAGGTGTTTAGTGCTATGAATTTCCCTCAAAGTAACAGTTTAGCAGCATCCCACAAATTGTAATATGTTGTAGTTTCATTTTTATTCAATTCAAAATACTGTCTTTTCCTTTTATTTCTGCTTTGACCCATGGAATATTAAGATATATAAATGGCAAATAAGCATATGAAAAGTTGCACATATTCATACACAGACTTGTATACAAATGTTCATAGCAGTTTTATTTGTAATAGCAGAGAATTGGGAGTGATCTAAATTACATCGACAAGTGAATGGATTTTTTGAAAAAAACAAAAGTGTTCATATAATGGTACACTTCTCAATAGTAAAAGGGAATAACTATTGATACATGCAACAACATGAATGAACCTCAAAATTATGCTGCATGACAGATGAGAGACAAGAAGGGCATGCACCATATGGTTGCACTAATATAAAATCCTGGAAAATGCCTGGCACAAAGCGGGTGATTTGGCTAGGGAAAGTGAGAGAGGACAGGGAAGGGCAAGAGGCAAGAATTCCCAAGGGGCAAGAGGACACTTCTGGGGGAAATGGGTATGTTTATTATGTTGACTGTGATGATGATTTCACAGGTGCATACATGTGTCAAAACCTATCAAATTTTACACATTAAATGTATGTCATTTATTGCATGTGAACTATACCTCAGCACAGCCCCTGAAGAAAAATGCAATCCAGAAAAAATCCCGTGGCAGCTCTGGTGACTAGGTTATCTTATCAGAGTCTCCCTCTTTCCCTACTTCAAGGGTTTTGCAGCCTTTGACTCAGTGTCTGTGTCTTCCTGCTCCTCTCCTACCCCCTCTGTTTCACTGTCCTGTGTGTGTGTGTGTGTGTGTGTGTGTGTGTGTGTGTGTGTGTGTGTGGTATTAAAACTCTTAAAGAGAAGATCCCTACCGATATTCATGAAGGAGCCTGGCTACCTCAGAGGTCATGAGACCTTGTTTATCTGGTGTATGTGGTTGCCCTTGTTAGATTAGTGTGTGCATTGTCTTGTTCAATCTGTTGTCGTCAGGGCACCATGAAGGAAAGCAAAGTAACCTGCTGACAGGAAGTACCTTTGGCTGCCTCCCTGAGAGAGGGCTGTGGCTGAGGGGGTTTCTCAAGCTTATTTCTTCCTCCCTGGCACAAGTAAGGCCAGATCTCCGGATCGAGCCTGTTCATACGGGCCCCCGGGAGTTCAGGCAACCCTTCTACATACCAGGTCCCAGAAATGGGCTTAGCAGCTCTCTGCAGTCCTTCTCCTCAGGCTCAGGAGCTCCCAAGGCAGTGAGCACTTCGTTGGGCAACAATCGCAGGCAGAAACGGACATACTGCTGAGCTATCTCCAAAGCACAAATGGCTCTCAGGCACAGTACATGACATAAACAAAAAATGTTCCTATATTCTCCCTGCGGTCAACTCCTGGATGGCAGAAAATGTTAGGAGTATAATATATCTGCAGATCTGAAGTCTTACACAAACATGTGACAACAAAGGGGGAAGGGGAGTCATTGTTTGAAAACGGGGATTATGCTCTATTGTCTCCAAAGGTTGCATGCTGAAGGAAAAGGTCACGCTCAGAAAGAGGCTCTCCCTGGTCAAACCCAGACCTCTTCGTCTCCGCTGTTTTCTCCAAAGTCCAGGAACAACATCACCCTGCTGTGTGAGTTTGTTTTCGTTCTTTGAATCTCTGCTTCTGCCAAGAAACTCCTTGCTGCCTCTTGGTCCTGCCTGCTCTCGGCTCCACTGGTCATTTCCACGGGAAGAATCGAGAGCCCATCGCTGAGCGGGAGGGAGATGTGGCAGCGGAATGTTTGTTTTCATTCAACTCACTCATGCCCTTCTGAAGTGTGTCGCACATGTGTAAAAGGACAGACAATGGAGATGGATGTTCTAGCTGACGAAATTCTCCGACACAAAGGCAGTGGACCCGCAGCTTTGCAATAGAGCTTTATCATCTTTCCTTTTTTATTCCCCTTTCTCCTTTCAAAGAGTTTGTTTTTCAGTCACTATTCTAGAACGAGTAATGTGACACAGAATGGACATTACAAAGTGAGGGGTGAAGATGAAGCTGAAAACCGGGAACAGAGGTAACTTGAATGATCTCCCGGCCCACACTGACGAGCGCACCGCTCGGCGCTGCCGGCGCCGGGACAACGCACCGCAGACCGGGCGGCTTATGAACAGCAACAACTTTGTTCTCGTACTTCTGGAGGCTGGAAGTCCGGATCGGGGAGCCAGCATGGCTGGCGGGGGGGGCCCCGTTCTGGGTCACAGACTTCTTGTACCCTCACAGGGCAGAAGGGCAAGGGAGCTCTCTGCAGCGTCTTTTATTCAGACACCCATCTTGTCTTATCCGGGAGGGTTCTGCCCTCATGAGCTGGTCACCTCCCAAAGGCTCACCTCCCACTGTCCTCCGCTTGGGCATTAGCTTTTCAGCATATGAATTCTGGGAAAGCATAAACATTCAGACCATAGACATAGCCATTGCAGAAGACTGGGGTACTTCTCCGTGTATACACACACACACACACACACACACACGCACGCGTGCGCCACAGAGAGCAGAAATCAAAAGTAACAAAACACACAGAATCTAGAATCACCTCACTGGGGCCGTGGCTCAGGCTTGCCACTTACCAGTTCTGAGCAAATCTCTTCAAACACCAAGTTGCATCAGCCCATGGGGGTAACAACACCTGACCTACTCATTTCCCAAGGATATTCTAAGAGTGCCATTATAGGGGTGCCTCGGTGGCTCAGTGAGTTAAGCGTCTGCCTTCGGCTCAGGTCATGATCCCAGGGTCCTGGGATCGAGCCCTGTGTAGGGCTCCCTGCTCAACAGGGAGTCTGCTTCTCCCTCTGCCCCTCCGCTCTCTCTCTCTCAAATAAATACATGAAATCTTTTTTAAAAAAAATAACATTATGTAGCTACTGTATGACATAATTTTTTTCACCTATGTAATTCTCTGAAATAGCAACAGTCTTTTAATGAAGGAGGAGTTTCCCTTATTCACCCATTCAAGAACCATTTATTGGGCACCTACTGTGTACCAGAGATTCCTCTTCCTCCTTGACAGTTGTCTTTTTAGTTTTCCAGATTCTGGCTTAAATGAGGATTTTGTTGCTTCTACCTCTTCCCTGTAACTTCTATATATATAAACTTCTAGAGAAGCTGTGTATACATAAAACACACACGCAGAGAGAAAAACAGATCATGTCAACGTTACTGACAAAGGCAGGTGCCAAGCAAGCCAAGAGAAAAATGAAAATGTAAGAATAACAGTGACTTACTCAGAAAAATGCTACACTAAAGGATTTTAGGAAAAGAAGCAGATCGTTGTTCCTAGGAACCTCATAATCTGTGCTCTGAAAAGGAAAAACAGAGTTTTAACCTTTGTCATTGTCATTTTATCAGAGCTTTCAAGCCCTTGTGATCCGTCATCCCACACTGTAAACTTCTTCCTGATCTTCCACATTCGGAAATACTTGGCATTTTAAGGATCTTGGGCCTCCAGATGTCTGATCCTGCTCCTCATGTCAAGTTTCTCCATCCCTACATGGTACTAAGTCAGCATCTAAGCTCAAGAAGACAAAAACAAGAGGCCAGAACCAGAACTGAAGCTCGGAGTTGCTAGTCGGCTTCATCTTGCACGTTACTTTATTTCAATAGTTGAAAAGACCGTGGGTGCCCTGCTGAAAGTGCTCCATGAATAAACAGTAAAAACTTCTCTCCAAAATTGGAGGATGATTTAAGAGCCACAGTTTTTCTCCTGTATAATTTAGAGTTTGAATAAATAGACAAATTAATTTTAATGCAAAACAAAATAATCACCACTTTAGCTTCACATATTCATTACATGACTTCAAGTAAAATTTTGGAAAAAAAATACATACTATAAACCTTTGGCTGCTCTTTTATGTTCCTCATTAAACTGTCTGGGGAATGGCTTTTTTCCTTTTAAAGTGCTTGATGGCACCCATTGTTTATATTTTTATTGTATCTGTTTCTTTGCAAATTAGGAAAATGATAAAACAATGAAATAACTTGAATAGACTTCGGCAAAGCTGATCCGTGAAGCACACGGAGTCTGATCTGTCAGACCGGGGAGGGGCGGCGGCCACGGTCATAAGCCTGCTTCATACCCACCCAGAGTTGGAGCCGCATCTCCTACTCCATCCTTTCCTTTTTGGGCAGGAGCACAGGATACACCATGGGTCTCCTGCCCCTTGTCCTTGCTGCCTTCCCATCCCCGCCGCTCCTGCAGCTCTCCCGTCGCTGAGAAGCCTCCAAACTACACGGAGGAGCGGCTTCACCACACTAAGGCTGACAGCTTGGAGAAGTGGGTACTTCTCCCCTTCAGTGGAGCCTTGGCTGGGTTTGAATGGAAAATTCGCCAGTGCTGAAAGAATGTTTTGCTTCTCCAGCACCCAGGATGTTCTTTGAATACCTGCAAGAGTGGCGGGAAAGACTGGGCTGATGAAGCATCTGACCATCAAACCAGAGAAAAAGCTCCTGTGGTCCCTGTTGCAGAACCATTTTGGGAAGACAGGAGGTCACGGCTGAACCCAGCCTCCCCTGTGCTAACTCAGCTCCAGGCACACATTGGTGCCCCCAGCACTAATCCATCTGATCATCGCTGGTCTCATTGGAAGCTTGCATCCTCCCACAGTACAGGGCTACTGTGTGTCCACTTCTCTAAGATGGGGCACAGAGTCACGCCCCGATGAGTTCTTCTCAGCGGCTTATAAAGCATCTGGCATCACCGCATCCTCCTCTTACACAGCAGCAAGCCACAGGAGGAAGGGAAGGGAAGGGTGGTTACAGATATATCACACCGGCTGAGCAGAACCAGTTGTTTGTTACAAGGATGAGCTATGTGGGAGGAAGGAGGAGAAAAGGCAAGATTTGTACAGTATTTGGCAAAGTCTGGATTCTTTGTTATTTGTCCGAATAAATAACCCTGAAAAAATGACTCAGTCTTCTGACCCTTGGATATCTGGAACTATGAATGATTTGAAGCTGACTTTTGGTGGATTGCAAGTAAGCAGAATTAAAAAAAAAAAAAAAAAGGTAATCACATCACAGAAGTGTTAGGAAGCACTGGATTTTGGTCTTGAGCTTTAAACCTGTCACTTTAAAAATGACAAAAGAAAGCTCATGCTAACATACCTTATCCAAGACGACATCAGCATAGACAATTTCTTCTCTGCATCATGTGTCTTTACCCTGAGCAGACCCTTCTCTGACTTGGATCACTCTGACCCAACCTCCCATTATCTACCCAGGAACAAGAAGAAATAACAAAACTATTTTCCGTGATGGTGGTTATGATTTGGTTTTTAAGTGAGCCTAGAGAGAGCTGACTCTGTTTTGTGTTCAAAGTTGTAAATCTTTTATAAAAGCTCAAAATGCCTTGAATTGTGAATCTGGCTCTCAAGAATTAATTATGATGGAGCATTATTAAAATGCTTCATTTGGAACATGTCTTGCATCTTGTGCTTTCTTTTAAATGCATATCAGAAGTTATGCTAACAAAGTAAGCTTGGCTTATATCCTGGAGGACAACATTTCTCACAGTGGCTGTAAATGCCCGTAATTTGTGCCCACTTTCTGACCCATGAGACCACACAAATTTCTGAACATTCCTCCAAATGCAAAGAATTGAGCCATGATTATTTCCTATAAAACATGTTTTGTGAGAAATCTTCACAATATTTTTACATCGGATTTATAGTCAACAGCATCTTTTGTAAAACAGCAATAAAAATTTAAAAAACAAAAAATAACAACAAAAAAACAGTAAATTTTTTTTAAAAAATCTTCAAAGCAGAGACTGTTAGTTGTTTTCCTAGTATGTATTCCCTTCCTCTTCCTTTGAATAAAAACAGAGCCCTCCATCATTGGGTATGGCAATTTGCCCAACTATAGAACTACATTTCTAAGCATCCCTTATAGATGGAAGTGGTTGATAAGATATGGGTGTAAGTCACTGCATGTGGTTTCTCGGAAAGGGGATTGATTCAAATGGGAGGCAGGATGGAAAAGCTATAGCTATTCAGCCATCTTGTGAGCAGCAGTTTGCCCTGAAAATGAAAGCCATTTACTAAGGGCAGTAGAACAGAAAGCAGGAGGAGACTGGGCCCTCAGGGACCATGGAGTCACCATACTTAGTACCCTACTACCCTACTTCTAGACTTCTCTTGTTAGAGAAAAAGTACATCTCTGATTTATTTTAATTACTTTTACTTTGGATCTTTCTTACTAGCAGCCAAACCTAATCTTGTCTCCCTATTCCCTTCCCAAATGTGTTTGGCAGATATAATGGTTGGAATATTAAACTAAATTATTTAAAATTTAAATTAGATGATTCCAACTAAGGGGAAATAAAATCTATAGTTCCTAAGCATGACCACTTCAGTGAAAAAGAATCTCTGGAGTATAAGAGAGGCATAGAAAGAAATCATTTACGAGGGACTAAGAATCCTTCAGCGTCTCAGTTACCCAAATTAAAAACAAAAAGACCCAGTATAAAAAGTAAATCATTGTAGACGTTGGCCTTTGGAAGGGGAGAGTCATACACACAGTGTGATCAAAACCCAAAAGACAGGCAGGACAAAGAGGTGAAGGAGGAATATTTGTGTGTGTTTAATTAATTAAAGGAGGTAAGTAAAATTTTTTAAAAAATGGTGTAGGCAGCTATAAAGTATAGAAATCTTTAGCAATAAGGGAAAAAATCTTCTAAGAAGACATACAGATGGCCAACAGACACATGAAAAGATGCTCATCATCACTTACCATCAGGGAAATGCAAATCAAAACCACAATGAGGTATCACCTCACACTTGTCAGAATGGCTAAAATCAAAAACTCAAGAAAAAACAAGTGTTGGCATGGATGTGGAGAAAAGGGAGCCCGCATGCACTGTTGTGTGGGAATGTGAATTGGTGCAGCCACTGTGGGAAACAGTGTGGAGATTCCTCAAAAAATTAAAAATAGAACTACCCTACAATCCAATAATCAAACTACTGGGTATTTACCCAAAGAATAAAAAACCACTAACGCAAAAGGATAGATGCATCCCTATGTTTATGGCAGCATGATTTACAATTGCCAAAATATGGAGGCAGCCCAAGTATCCACTGGTAGAGGAATGGACAAGGAAGAAGTGATATATATATATTTTATTCAGCCATAAGAAAGAATTAAATCTTGCCATTTGCAACAACATGGTTGGATCTAAAGAGTATAATGCTAAGCAGAATAAGTCAGAGAAAGGCAAATACCATATTGATTTCACTCATATGTGGAATTTAAGAAACAAAACAAATGAATAAAGGAAAGAGAGAGAGACACCGAGAAACACTCTTAACTATAGAGAACAAACGGATGCTCGTCAAAGGGGAGGTCGGCGTAGGGACGGTGAAATAGGTGATGGGGATTAAGAATACACTTACCATGATGAGCACTGAGTAATGCACAGAATTGTTGAATAATTATATTATACACCTGCAACTAATAGAACACTGTATGTTAACTACACTGGAATTAAAATTTTTTTAAATATTTAAAATATTTTTAAATTTTAAAAAATTTAAAATAAATTTTAAATTAAAAAAAAAGAAAAAGAAAAAGTCTTCTGAAATGGGAATTTGAGACTTGCAGAATTATAGGATGGATATCATGTTTAGTAGGGGTATTTAAGCATATTGGAATGAGTTTAATTCTGGGTCCTGGAAAACCAGGCCCATGGCTAAGCTTCCAGGAACAAGGCTCAGACCTCCCTGCAGAATTGGCCTGGTGAGGCAGTGGCTGGTCTTTCCCGGCCACCCCAGAGCAATCCACGCCACTTGATTGAAGGCCCCACCAGTGCTCCTGTTTCTGCACTGAAGCTGACCTCAGCGGCACCACTTGGTCTGAAACAAAGCCTATTCCCCACAACATTCTGCTCATGGTTGTCATGCATCTTCCTGCAAAAAAAAAAAAAAAGCCTGGAGATTTGAGTATTGACTTCTACATTAGGAGGCAAGACTCATAACAAAGGCATTTCCCCCAAATACACAGAAAGACTTGTCAAAATATATGGGGAGCTATGAATAGGATAAATGTGGGGCACATGACTGCTAAAGACAAAGAATTCAGGACGTTCTGAATGTTAAAATGAGGAGAAGAAAAATTATAGAATTGAATTCTATAGAATTCAGGCAGTTGGTAAAAGTGCAGTTTCAGGCTGGAACGAGGGCCACCCCACTCCCCTGAGACTAAGCTAAGAAGGTCCTGGTATCCGTCCGTTGTGGTCCAGAGATGCAGGTGTTCTCCCAGTTAGCAAATGGTTACTGAGTGCAAATACATGCCGGAGCATGGAGATTCAGAAGTGAACTGCTAAACACTGATAAAAGTCCTTGCCCCCATGAAGCTTGCATTTCCCTGATACAACAAATGGGACCTAGTAGGCCAGATACAGGAATCCGCCACTGCGTACCTGTGATTTATCCAGGCTTATCAAGCTCCTAATTCCTTTTACAGTATCTCCCAAAGTAGGTTTTACCAACTTTGTGCTTCATGAATGCAAGGGGCTTGGTGATCAAATACATTTGGGAAATGACAAGGAGACAAGAGTAAACGGGTTTGTCAGAGGCAGGATTTCTCTGAGGTTTTAATATATTTAATATATGCCAATATGTGCATTGGAAATCTCCCAAAAGGGGATGGAATGAGTATGTATGTCATGTGTCCAAACTTATAGGACCACAGAACCTTTTATTGTGAAGCATTTTTACAGAACTAGAATACCCAGGAACACTTTAGAAAACGCTTCCTTATTCTGTAACAAAGTTGATTTTACTCTTAAAATAACTGCCAGAGAAAGTGAAGGACGTGACGCCTAGAACAGCAGTGACACATTGGGTTTGGCTCCATAAAGAACACTCCTTGCTTTCCAGGTGAAAACAGGGGAGGGTGAGGCCATGTTTACGACACTGTTTTAGGAGATCCTGGGCAGTTTTCACAGCAGAGAATTAAGTTAAGGAAAAAAATAAAAAAGAACATCATGGTTGAGTTGAGAAGGGAATCCAACAATAGAGAAATATATAAAACATGGGTAATGAACCATCTCATATTCTATTAAGGGACCTTACTCACAGAAAAAAAAAATTAAGAATTACCTACTAAAGAAACTTTTTCTCTCTTACTGGGAGAACAAAATGCATGATCCATATGCTTTCGGAATTACCAACAGGGAACACAGTATTGAAAGCAGTAATTTTAATCCCTTTCTTCACCAAACCTTTCATTACAACCATGAAAAAAAAAATCAAATAGCTCTAATTTTAATATGACTTGTCCCATACCCTTATAGGGTGCTGATGAATAGGTGAAAAATCAGAGAGCAGCTCACACACGCAGAGGGTTGGAAGAAACAGAAGGAAAGGGGGTAACTCTATAGGGTAGAGAAAAAAGCCTTTAGATAATTGGCAGGTCACAGGAACGCTTGAACAGAATAATGAGAGGCCTGAGCCCAGAAGGCACCAAACGTAGGGAAATATTTTTGAAAGATTATGTGAATCCTACCTCTTCCCCAGAGGCCAAAGTCGGACAAAATGCATCAACATTTTGAACTTGGAGAGCCTTCCTCCATCTTTGAAGATCCTAACTTAGAATATTGAAGGTTA